ATCCGCATCCACTTCGCCCCCAACGGCAAGCTCTCCGGCGGCGACATCGAGGTGTACCTGCTGGAGAAGGCTCGCGTCATCTCGCAGCAGCCGCTCGAGCGATCCTACCACATCTTCTACCAACTTATGTCCGACCAGGTCCCACTGATCAAGCGTAAGTATAAAGTAATCATTTTACTTTTCTTAAAATATTCTAGAAGTGAAAATATATGATAAAATCGCTTCGAACAGACCATCAAAAGATTACCTTTCTCTTCTCCAGCTCACTGCCTTCTCAGCAACAACATCTACGACTATCACTTCGTGTCTCAGGGCAAAGTAACCGTGCCATCCATCGACGACAAAGAGGACATGGAATTTACTCATGTGAGTGTGCCCATAAGATTTGAAAAGTTTCTTACTAGATGATGTACATTGTACATAATTCATGATCATAGCGCATTATAAGCACAAAAGAATTACTCTTACAGCAAGCCTTCGATGTTCTCAATTTCTCTGAACAAGAGCGATTAGACTGCTACGCTCTCACTGCTGTCGTAATGCACTTCGGTGAGATGAAGTTCAAGCAGCGTGGTCGCGAGGAGCAGGCTGAGCCCGACGGCACCGACGTATGTAAAACGATGTCTGTTTCATTGTATGTACATATGCATGTATACATACGTACATGCGTACTTATATATATATATATATATATATATATATATATATATATATATATATATATATATATATATATATATATATGTAATTATATATATATAATTATATACAATTATATATATTTATATATAATTATATATATATATACATATATGCATATATAAATATATATAATTATATATATACATATATATATATATATATATATATATATATATATATATATATATATATATATATACATATATATATATATATACGGCACCGACGTATGTAAAACGATGTCTGTTACATTGTATGTACATATGCATGTATACATACATACATACGTACATGCATACTTATATATAAATATATATATATATATATATATATATATATATATATATATATATATATATACATTTATATATTTATATATAATTATGTATATATACACATATACGTATATATATATATATATATATATATATATATATATATATATATATATATATATATATATATATATATATAAACGTGTGTATGTGTATATATGTATATACATATAAGTATATATATATATATATATATATATTTAAATATATATATATATATATATATATATATATATAAACGTGTGTATGTGCATATATGTATATACATATAAGTATATATATATATATATATATATATATATATATATATATATATATATATATATATATGTGTGTGTGTGTGTGTGTGTGTGTGTGTGTGTGTGTGTGTGTGTGTGTGTGTGTATTTATGTATGTATATATGGATATATCGGTATATATATAGATAGAAAGATAGATATAGATATAGATATAAACACACACAGTATATATATATATATATATATATATATATATATATATATATATATATATATATATATATGAATATGACGATAAATTCATTTACATGCTCATGTGGTATTTCTTATTCAGCTTATTCGGAAACATCCTTTGATGTCACTTTTCCTGTGGTCAGGTTGGCGAGACCATCGGAAAGCTGTTGCTTGTTGACGGGACGGAACTATACAAGAATCTGTGCAAACCCAAGATTAAGGTCGGTGCCGAATTCGTGACGCAAGGCAGGAACGTAGATCAAGTGAGCTACTCCGTCGGTGCCCTTGCTAAGGCCATGTTTGATCGCTTGTTCAGGTGGATGGTGAAGAAGTGTAACGTTGCACTTGAAACCGGACAGAAGCGTGCCATGTTCATCGGTGTGCTCGACATTGCCGGTTTCGAGATCTTCGACGTAAGTAATATGAAGTTGATTGTTATGAGTATCATATCGAACTAATTGGAGCCCATGTTTTCTTTATTATCCATATCCTCTAGCAGTGAAAAGGCTTTGACAAATTTGCATCTTTTCTTTCAGTTTAACGGCTTCGAGCAGATCTGCATCAACTTCTGTAATGAAAAGTTGCAACAGTTCTTCAACCACCACATGTTCGTGCTGGAGCAAGAGGAATACAAGAGGGAAGGCATTAACTGGACCTTCGTGGACTTCGGTATGGATCTGCAGGCTTGCATCGAACTTTTCGAGAAGGTACAGCACCAAAAATATACACATGAACCCCACAGTCCCCGACTTCTATCACTGTCAAATCTAATTTACCCATTATATCGAAAAATCTCATTCTTTGATGATTTGACGTCCTGTAATAGATTTCAGGTTCTGAAAAAAACAAATATTACTTGTAAGAATCTGTATTTTAGTCGTTCTAGCTTTGGTATACCTTCCCTTCCTCCTATGTACCTATTGTACATGAACAGATTTCTATGTTGCTATTTGTAGTTCTCTGTCCTGAGACTTCCCTTACAGAGAATCA